ACCCGGTCGTGCCAGTACTCCACATGACTGACCCGGTCGTGCCAGTACTCCACATGCCTGACCCGGTCGTGCCAGTACTCCACATGACTGACCCGGTCGTGCCAGTGCTCTACATGACTGACCCGGTGGTGCCACTACTCCACATGCCTGACCCGGTCGTGCCACTACTCCACATGACTGACCCGGTGGTGCCACTACTCCACATGCCTGACCCGGTCGTGCCACTACTCCACATGACTGACCCGATCGTGCCACTACTCCACATGACTGACCCGGTCGTGCCACTACTCCACATGCCTGACCCGGTCGTGCCAGTACTCTACATGACTGACCCGGTCGTGCCAGTACTCCACATGCCTGACCCGGTCGTGCCACTACTCGACATGCCTGACCCGGTCGTGCCACACAAGTCCTAGCAGTTTGAAACTCCCTTCTCCACTCATACAACTGCTGGGCAGACAAGTATACATCATCATCATACCGGACCTTCATTCAACGATGAATTTCGGTTGGTTTCACCCCTTCAGTTGTCACAAAAAGGATGACAGAATGCTGCTCCTCTTTGGTGCATGTCACAAGTGGGGTGGCCATATGTAAGCCGTCACTATGAAGTCATCGTGTTCGTCTACACCGTGATGTTACGTGCTTGACACCCCTAACAATATCAATGATAGGCTGCAAAACAAAGGATTAGTTTTATAGTTTTGATTAGATTTTTAAGTTTTCCATTTGAACCACCCCCCCCCCCTCCCAACCCCACCCCCGCCCGCTCCCCCATTTAAATCTGATTATCTAACTGTTTGCCTTTTTAACTGCTTAACAATGTTCAGTCAGTTGTGTCTAACCTCTTACTGCACATAATACCTTTACTTTCTGTCTATATGTCTGACTATGGAAGGATCTCTGTGGTAAGACTGCTATAAACAAGACCAGACATCTCTCAGTTCCACCACACTAGGGATGACTAGACACAGCGCCATGTGGACTGGCAAATTGCCCATTGCTCGCCTGCCACAAGCTTGTCAACCGCTGGTTAGCGAATCACACGAAAGTTTTTAAACACGAGGAAGTTACCTGTCAGCGCGCGCTTACACCCGCGCTAGCAAGTCGTCACGTTTTAACTTCGCTTCATTAATTAATTTACAGAGTGTCTGCCGGTATTTTGTGATAATTTCTTCTCGTATTTTGCATGTTTCGATTATTTCTTCTGCCATTTAATTTTCCTTTGGCTATATGAGTAGATTGTTATTCATTTATTACGTATTAGGATTGTTATTCATTTATTACGTATTGGTTCTTTCAGTCTGTTTTAGTTCAATGTATACCTCTGCGTGATGGAGGCTTTTCTGTAGCACTTTGTTTCATTTCGATTTACTAACTGTTGTAATCTTTTAATGTAGAGTCAGTTTGTTAGTCTGTCGTCTTGTATCTTTAATGTAGAGGTCACTATTTAGTACCTCTTATATCCTGGTACATGTAGATCTACTAAAAGCTGCATCTTCTCCTAAAAACTTGCGTGTTTTGTCTTTGTTAGCCTGATCTATAGTTTTAGCGATTGCCACCTCCAGGTTATAGAGATCAATTTAAAGCCATATACTGCTAGGCATGGTTACTCACCTGTGTACCAAGATTAGAGAAGAGTTTCTGGTAGAGAATTGAACCCAGGAAGTAGGCAGATGTAGGTCTGCGGCTACAGTTTTGCCGCATTACTAGAGTACTGTGGGTTTCATGTGGTTCTAATGTGGATTTTATTTAAATATTTCAGCGTGATACTGCACACGGTGATACTGCAGACGGTGATATGCTGTGGTGATATGCTATGGTGATATGCTGTGGTGATATGTAACTGACATTGTATCTCTTTCTCCATGCGGATTTGGAATACACGTGGACTGGGGCAAGTCTGAACTGTTCTTGTAACTTGGGTAAACTAACACGGCGGATGTTGTTCTTTGTATTTGTATGTGTGTTTGTGTGTTTGTATGTGTGTCTGTCTGTCTGTCTGTGTGTCTGTCTGTCTGTATGTTTGTGTGTGTGTCTGTCTGTCTCTGTGTCTATCTGTCTATCTGTCTGTCTGTCTCTGTGTCTGTCTGTCTGTCTGTCTGTCTGTTTGTTTGTCTATGTGTATGTGTGTCTGTCTGTGTGTCTGTGTGTCTGTCTGTCTGGATGGATGGATGGATGGATGGATGGATGGATGGATGAATGGATGGATGGATAGATAGATGGATGGATGGATGGATAAATTAATGGGTGGATGGATGGATGGATGGATGGATAGATGAATGGATGGATGGATCGATGAATGGATGGATGGATGGATGGATGGATGAATGGATAGATGGATGGATGAATAGATGCATGGATGGTTAAATGGATGGGTGGATGGATGGGTGGATGGATGGATGGATGGATGGATGGATGGATGGATGGATAGATGGATGGATGCCTGTATGTATGTATGTATGTATGTATGTATGTATGTATGTATGTATGTATGTATGTATGTATGTATGTATGTATGTATGTATGTATGTATGTATGTATGTATGTATGTATGTATGTATGTATGTATGTATGTATGTATGTATGTATGTATGTATGTATGTATGTATGTATGTATGTATGTATGTATGTATGTATGTATGTATGTATGTATGTATGTATGTATGTATGTATGTATGTATGTATGTATGTATGTATGTATGTATGTATGTATGTATGTATGTATGTATGTATGTATGGATGGATGGATGGATGGATGGCTGGCTGGATGGATGGCTGGCTGGCTGGCTGGCTGGCTGGCTGGCTGGCTGGATGGCTGGATGGGTGGATGGATGGATGGATGGGTGGGTAGATGGATGGATGGGTGGATGGATGGATGGGTGGATGGATGGATGGATGGATGGATGGGTGGGTGGATGGATGGATGGATGGATGGATGGAAGGATGGATGGAAGGGTGGATGGATGGATGGATGGATTTATGGATGGATGGATGGATGGATGGATGGATGGATGGATGGATGGATGTCTGTCTGTCTGTCTGTCTGTCTGTCTGTCTGTCTGTCTGTCTGTCTGTCTGTCTGTCTGTCTGTCTGTCTGTCTGTCTGTCTGTCTGTCTGTCTGTCTGTCTGTCTGTCTGTCTGTCTGTCTGTCTGTCTGTCTGTCTGTCTGTCTGTCTGTCTGTCTGTCTGTCTGTCTGTCTGTCTGTATGTATGTATGTATGTATGTGTCCGTTATGTTTAAAATCGTTATCAAAGTCCCCGTAATATGTCATCAACACGTGCTTCAACACTTGTGTCTGTGAGGGGAGGTAATGACGCTGTGATAACTGCCAGAGAAACAACTGGCAAGTTCTGCTCCATTCACTCTTACAAATCGTGGTAGCATCTCTTTTTGGGTGCAAGACGACGAAAGTACTGGATTGTCTTTATGTGTCTAGTAAATTTGACTATCTTCTCTCTCAAAATAGAAAAGATGTACTTGTTTGTATAGTCTGTGTCTTGCGGTGTTGGTAGCCATGTCTGTCCACAACCTTCTGTCTCGTGTACTTTCAATCAGCTGTGAAACATAAGATCCTCCAAACCATGATGTTAGACTGTCCAAAATCTTTTCTCTCGGTCTTCCTCTGCCTGTATCTACATTCAACTTTCCGACCGTTACGATCTACTCCAGTTTCCCCCTCCTCATGACTTGACCAAAGAATGTAGAGGGTCACCTTCTGATGTCAGCAACCAGTTCTCTTTACACATACTCTCATTTTTTAAAATCTGTCTAGGGTGTTTTCATCGTTTGTCTATAAAAACCACATCGTCGCCGCAAAACAGTATAAAACGAAGAAGAAAGTCGTGTGTGGGGGGTGGGGTTAAGAAATTATATCTTTAGCCACACAGGACTTCAGATGACACCATGCTAGTTACTGGTGCTCCCAGTAAAAGTTCTCCAGGGTTACACATGGGCCCAGTTGGTCTGCCAGCCTCACTGAGCTGTTGTCATCTTCGCGTGGCAAACGTTCAGACCTGCATGTAGCCTTCTGGAGGCTTAAATCGGAAGTAAAATAGGAAGGATGGGCGAATCCATCTTCATAATTTTGGCCTCTAAGGGTTGAACGGGGAATATGAAGTTTGCAGCTGTGGAGTTGGCCATCAGATATGTGGCTGATAGGGTTAATGTAATGGCAAATGGCTATAGAGTTGACGCAGGCACAGGAAACAGTTGAGCTGGATTATCTTCACAGCAATCCTGAGACATCCATAGTTGCTCAGATTCTCCCTTCAACATATTCATCAGTGTTGCGTGGTTGATATAGCCAGTCCTATGCTGTTTGAAAAGACCTCTTGTGCGTCTAATGTGCCTTGGCTGTGCAAATCTCTTTTCCCAATTCTCCTATTCTTAGCAGTGATGTGGATACGTTGCTTACAACATCCTCCGATTGTCATGTCTCTCTAAGGGCATAACAAATGTCAGATGGTAATCCATAGGTTAGCCATATGTAACTGATGCAGAACCTGCCAGTCTGTCAGCTCTTTTGATGCCAACAACGCCTGTATGACCTGGGACAGATACGAAGGTCTGCATGCACATGATATTTTTGCAAGGACTCAGTCCACTTCCTGCATATGGAGACATGATAAATTGTTACGAAAGCCACCAGCGCGGTGATTGCAGGCCAGCGATTGATTTGACGCAACATGGGGAGCGGGGGGTGGGAGACTGACTGACGAAAATGAGGAGGGCAAGAGGTGAGCTGCACGCGACGGCAAAAGAGAGACCAGCTGAAGCGAATAAGTTGATGGCATGTTCCCCATCAGGGACCAAATAGCAACGGAAGGAACAGCTGATATTTTGACGATTTGACTTCGTGTGTTTTGCAGTGAGCTCACCGTCCCATGACACACATAGTAAGCAAGCACGGAGCAACAAACTTTTATTTCCTCTATTTTTCCCCAGTAACTGAAAGGATCGGAACACAGACCGTTAACAACAAAAGAAAACCGCGCTATGTCACTGGACCAGTTTGTAGGAACGTGGGTAGAAGCAAAGAAGGAAGGATTTCATGGTTTGGCAGCAGCTTTAGGTGAGTGCTAAATCAGTCAGTAATTTGTGAAACTGTACAATCATGACTGTTCTCTACATCTTTAAACAGACAATTTGAGATCGCTTTCATTCGTGTCAGCGACCATCCTGTTTAGGTGAGAGTAGCCATTGCCACTGTAATGTGCTTTTGTGCTACCTTTTGGGGGTGAACTAAAGACAATGACCAACAACTGACTGTTAGTTGCTCTAGAGCTCTCCTGCCATGAAGAGCTAGGACAGCTCTCCTGCTATGAAGAGCTAGGAGGAGGGAAAGAGATGTCTGCATGGCTTGTCAATATTCATGGAGTGGGACAAGAGCGTTGAAATAATCCGTGATTCTAGGGGTCGTGTGAGTTGGTCAAACATGACTGCTTTACAACATGACTGCTTTACAACATGACTGGTTTACAACATGGCTGGTTTACAACATGACTGCTTTACAACATGACTGCTTTACAACATGACTGGTTTACAACATGACTGGTTTACAACATGACTGCTTTACAACATGACTGGTTTACAATATGACTGCTTTACAACATGACTGCTTTACAACATGACTGGTTTACAATATCACTGCTTTACAACATGACTGCTTTACAACATGACTGCTTTACAACATGACTGATTTACAACATGACTGCTTTACAACATGGTTGGTTTACAACATGACTGCTTTACAACATGACTGCTTTACAACATGGTTGGTTTACAACATGACTGCTTTACAACATGACTGCTTTACAACATGACTGGTTTACAACATGACTGCTTTACAACATGACTGGTTTACAACATGACTGCTTTACAGCATGACTGGTTTACAATATGACTGCTTTACAACATGATTGGTTTACACATGACTGCTTTACAACATGACTGGTTTACAACATGACTGGTTTACAACATGACTGCTTTACAACATGACTGCTTTACAACATGATTGGTTTACAACATGACTGGTTTACAACATGACTGGTTTACAACATGACTGTTTTACAACATGACTGGTTTACAATAAGACTGCTTTATAACATGATTGGTTTACAACATGACTGATTTACAACATGACTGGTTTACAACATGACTGCTTTACAACATGACTGATTTACAACATGACTGTTTTACAACATGACTGGTTTACAACATGGCTGCTTTACAACATGATTGGTTTACAACATGACTGGTTTACAACATGACTGGTTTACAACATGACTACTTTCGACTGGGCGTATGAAGATGACAAAACTAATCAGCGACATTGGCAATCACTTGAATCAGTTCATTAATTCATGGATCATTTATTCACATGTGTGAATATTTTTGATTCAATGATTCCTAAATCGATTGGTCTGTTATCATTCATCGATTGATTAAGATGAATTTTGATCTGTTTGTAGGTCGGTTCATTCACTCATCGATTAGTCAGTCCGAAAATCTGTATGTTTGTATGGTTGTCCATGCGTCCACCATACATAATCAAAAACCGGTCTAAACAGAAGTCGATCTACAGACTCACCTGCTTAGTTACAGAATTAGCCTATTATCTGCTTTCCAGCTCTGAACGATATGTGTGTGTGTGTGTGTGTGTGTGTGTGTGTCGGCGTGTGTGGCTTAGGCATTGCGAACTCGATTCGTAATTCCAATATGACAGGTCGGATCCCTAGCTTCAGGCGATCTGGCGATACAGTGTCGAAAGCTCAGCAGCAATGGCAAACTACTGAATGTAAAACTGCTAGGTGAAGTCACAAATACCTAAAAATGTTTGGGTTGGTTCTACAACGCCCTCTAGCTGTGAAGTTATTTGCTCTGTGCTCGTAAAGTTGCTCTTTCGATCAGTTGCGTTAAAATAAATACAATCCTACTACCCGTATCTGGTCCCAAGCCACATTGTGAAACAGGGCAATTCAACTGATGGTCCCCTGGTCACATCGTGGTTTCCGTTTCTGGCTTTCGAGTCAGATCCCTAAAAATATTGCTGGAGCTTTTGAGTTGATGCTTTGAACGACGCCATAGGCTGACAGCCAGTCCCTCTAGGGCAATGATCTTCAAACTGGTGGAAAAGGGGGAGGGGAAGGCGCGAGGAGGTTTCCAGGGGGCATCAAGCCGTTTTGAAATTGGAGTCCATTTGTACTTGTATAATCGGTTATTTTATTTGCTTTTCCAGTTTAATTATAAATAAAATATTGTAAAAAGTATTTATAAAACAAACAGCCATGGACATTTTTGTTTTGTTTTCATAAGCAGTTTATACAGCTACAGATACAAATCTAATTAATATGATGTCAGACACGTTTAATAATAAATAAAGATCACATTCGGACCCAAACGTATCTCCATACTTTCTGTTTCGCTTGTTGGTGAATGTATTGTCCTTCTCTTCTGAATCACTTTATGTTGTCTTTAGCGGGAAAAGTGGGTTTAGCGGTCTGTGTCACATACTCATAGGCAGCGTTAAAAAAAAAGGGGGGGGGGGTCTTTCTATATGCTCAAAGGCAGGGGGAGGGGGGTTGGGGTCGGGGGGGGGGGAGGGGGGAGGGTTGCGGACGGCGACATGAAACAAAAAAGGTTGTAGACCCCTGCACTAGGGAGATGTTAATTACCCGTTCAATGTGATGGACTGTATTGAACGCTTTTCCTCTCCCCTGAGTTCTCACAACACACAACAGTGTACTCAACACGCCCGTCAAAGTCGCTCCAAGCACGCAGAGTTCACGCCCCGTGACATACCATCCTCGGCGTGACATTTCCCAGGTTTGAACTCATTCCATGTGGGTCGAGGTGCGCACCCGTAGAACAGGGAGTCTTGTTGTTTATTTTGGCAGCATACCAGTCGTGCCAGCATAAACATCACTTGGCGGGAATGTATACACGGGGCGGATGGTTGATGGGCGTGTGTGGCTTTTGGGCTTGATGTCTACTGATGGCTGGCTGGTGGCTGATCAGCGTTGTTAGCAACATGGACGCTATTTATGATTCTTTATGTGTCTGACGTCTTCATCCCTCCTTCTCTCTCCTCTCTCTTCTCTTGCTATCTCTCGTTCGGTCTCTCTTGCTCTTCCTTGCTCTTTCTCACACTGAAATACACGCGCACTCTTCTTCGTCTCTGTCTGTCCGACTACGCCCTACAAGTCTCTGTGTGTATACGTCTGACTGTCTCCATTTCTCTTCTCTAAGTCTGTCTGCCACCATTCCTTTTCCTCTTTATCTAGTTTTATACCCGTCTCTCTAAGTTTCTAAATCTCTCTCTCCGACACACACACACACACACACACACTCTCTCTCTCTCTTTCTTTTCTATCTCTCACTCTGTGTGTTATCTCATTTACAAGCACTTGTAAAAGAGAGAACTAATAATATATTCTAAAATACAATTATTAGCAAGTTTCTGAGTGAGAGCACTAGAAAATAACCTATACTTCCCACCTTTAGACCAATCTAGATTGTTCTACAATATGAGATAGCTGTTCAAGTCAGTCAGCAAACGACTTAAAGCATTTCAAAGACGAGCTGTACGCCCAGTAAGTAATAATCATGTACGAGACAGTTCAAATCTTCATGAATATTGAAAAGTAAAAAACAAAGGGCAATTTTAAAGCCTTTAGGAATATTGGGCAGATAGGGCTAGACCTATAATTTATAGACATGGGAACTTGATGGGCGTTGTAGTCAGCAACCAGCTGCCTTTGCTTCCCTAGACGCTACCTGGTACCCTTTAAATCTGAGACGGCCTGTGAGTCAAGGTCATCTCTGAAAAACATCCGCTTCCTGATATGCTGTGACCACTCCACAAACGCCTACTTTTCCCTACAACTAAACGTATTTACAAGATCTTATCTCAGGAAACCTCCGGTGGCATTTGGTCGTTGCTTAAACATAAAAAAGAAGACATGCCGCATGTCTGAACATATTACATATCCCCAAACCAAGGATAGATCTATACAAAACACGCTTGCTGTACTATGCAACCCATCTATGCGCCGATCTTCTACAGTGGATTACTATATATATATATATATATATATATATATATATATATATATATATATATATATATATACACGTTTAACTGCCAGCCTCTATACCTTTCTTCTTCACGTTGACTGGATGCAAACTGCGGCGGAAGATTTGAATATATCTCCCAGCAGACAACACGCAGACTTAAACAACAATAGCAGGTTGAGTTTTTATAAATTATTACTAAGAACTATTTATTGTTTAGACGTGGAAGTATAATTCGAGCATATTCCAGGGTGTGTTATATAAAAAAACGGCTGCGCACAACAAGTAGATTGTGACAGTCGTCCTGGTGGGGGCCGTGTTTTAGGGCGCTCAGTGTGCGGGACTGTTTGTTTCGCGGTGGTGTGGCTGAGGACTGACTTGGTACTAACACAGATGAACAGTGCAACAGCTAGCGGATAGCCAACTAAACAGGAACCAGGACCCATCAGAACCTGAACTTAGGCAACAAATGAACAAACTCAGGTGTAATTGCTCACCACAAAGGAAGATAAATAAATAAGATAGCAAAGGAACCGTCCTTGAAAAAGCAGGCCATCAGGCGGCTAAAAAAAGGACTAAGTTTGGAATTTTTGTTTGATTTTATACGATACGATACAAGGGTGTGTTATTAATATTTAGTTGTTGTCGTTGCCATTATTATTTAAAAGATGTAAAATTAAAGTAACCAAAGACAGCCGGGAGGCCAGTAGGGAGGCCAGTAGGGAGGCCAGTCGGGAGGTCAGTAGGGAGGCCAGTAGGGAGGCCAGTCGGGAGGTCAGTAGGCAGGCTAGTAGGGAGGCCAGTCGGGAGGTCAGTAGGGAGGCTAGTAGGAAGGTCAGTAGGAAGGTCAGTAGGGAGGCCAGTAGGGAGGCCAGTCGGGAGGCCAGTCGGGAGGCCAGTCGGGAGGCCAGTCGGGAGGTCAGTAGGGAGGCTAGTAGGGAGGTCAGTAGGGAGGTCAGTAGGGAGGCCAGTAGGGAGGCCAGTAGTTAGGTCAGTAGG